TAGTTGTGGTGGTTGATACTTTAAGGACCGACATCGACTGACACACCAACTCCACAGAGCCCTGTCGACTGCTACTGCTACTACTTATTATCTGTGGGAGAGTCTATTAACAATAGAATAGGTATGTTCCGGTATAACGATAATACAATTGGTAATACGGTTAGTAGATCCACAAATGCGGTTAGTAGCAATAATAATATATATACAGTCTGGGAAATTCAGTATCGAAGTATGACTTCTTTCTGAGTCTACGTGCTCGCAACTGTGACTCTTACAAAGCGGTTACATCACACTCTCACTCTCTCACTCTCTTACTGTATCACTCCCGGGTATTCACCGGCAGCAGTTCAAGTACACACTGGGCGAGTCCACTTGTGTAAAAAGGGGTGGACCCCTTAACAATAATCGTCTTTATCAGTCCTCCAGCAGGTAAGGTGTAGGGTCACTGAGCGGTTTCTGTAAAGCCAGGAAAGTATGCCTTCTTGCGTGTCCCTTCGTGTCTAGTGCAATTAGGCCTGGTGGATCCCGTCGCTCCACGTGCTAAATTTACTGCCGATCTTCTCTAAATTGAAAGCTTGCCTCGTAAACAGACAGGTGGCCGTTGATAACGCCTTAGACGCATCCTCGCCCCATGCTGTTATATGACCGCACTAGGTACATACATAGCTATGGAGCCGAGTCTATCCACTTTGTGTCAGATAGCTACTGACCGTACAAGAAATTTCATCCCCTAGCCACCCCGCCTCAATAGAAAAGCCTGGTGAAGGAACCGGTTTAATTGCCGATGATCCGAGCATGTTTGTACCGGGTCACGGGATGCCAGTAACACTCGTAGAATAACCTGATATTAATTGCAACTATTTCTTAAATTTTAATGTTTCATTTAAAGATAAGAGATATATGTTGTCATGCGGTCTTTAATGAATAAAGAAACGAGAATGTGAGAGACTATCGATATATAACAGTCCCCCACCCCCACGAGGAATATATGTGGAACAAGGCCGAGTTTAATGTGGGGTTTCTCCGAGCCCGTAGGCTCAGCCAAAAATATTCCCTTTGAACCCGGATAAGCGGGTTCGGGATCTGTCTACCTCCCCGGACAAAACTTTGCCCTTCGGCAAAGCTTCGTCCGGGTCCCTCTCTGCCAAAACAGAAAGTTTGACAGACGCCGCACACAGTCAGAGACTGCGGGTCGACTGCCTAATGTGAGAGACTGTCTTTTCCCTCTCGAATGGGGCGCCTTTATATCTGCCTGCTATCCGTTTGACTCACGTGATCATATCCTAAACGCAACCGACCACCGTTTTACATGTCAGAGCCAGCATTTCACATCCCGTAAGGCACGAATCCGGAGGCACGGTGGAAGGTCTCGAATTGAGGAATCGGAGAGCCGGGTTCGAATTCAGTCGAGTTTATTACATTCACTTAGGTGCTATTACCCTTAGGAAAGATACGAAACCACTACTTCTGACCCTGTTACTATAACCTCAGTTGTCAATGGGTCTAGGAGAATTCAAACCAACTCGGAGAGGGTTAGGTACCACCAGACTATCTTGCCCAGGAAACACGACTGCTACGGCGGTTAATGTAAACGTGCCGCCTCTACGATCCTGATATGTTACGGGTCTCGGGATCGTAAGATACGTATCTGTAAGACAGTTTATAAGCCACCTTCGTGGTCAGCCCTCTGATGCTACCTGGCTTCTCTGATGCAGTGACTGTAAAATCAATTTTGGTATCACTTAGGGTGAATCTAAGACTCAATTTCCAGCCTTGCTAGAGTTAAGGTGTGTAAACAGCTTTGTCAGTGATGAATTATTTTCCACCATACCACAGAGGAAACGTTGCTAGCCTGTCGATACACTAACGCTATTTTCATGGTAAATGTTCCGTCAGGCTATAGCCCTTAGTACCACTATTTCAGACGTTAACATCTTCAATTTCCCACCCCAGACCTTAAGTGGAAATCAGATACACCATCAATCGCTAAAGATGCTTGAAAATAAATGGCCATTCTTCTTTACCGCTCCATTAAGTACCAGACCCCTCTTTCTATGCTCTACCTTTATGTTGTACAGTTGGACTCAACTTACTTCCTGATCTTCTCTACAACTGTGACAATGGACTGATCCTAATTATACATATAGTAAGTAGCCACATGAGAGTAGGATTTAAAGAGTAGTTGATTTACTCATTTTTTTTTTATGGGGATTTTCTAAGTGTAGCTCAAGTGTAGCACAAAGCCGAATGCTTTGGTTACACCCGGTGAGGATTTTCACTTTTCAGTCGTAACTGATTTAGCGAGACAAGCTTCCAATCGATTACACAACGTTGAAGTGCCCAGTTATTCCGTTCTAAATATTAATATTTAATATACCTCTTCTTTGTTTTCCGTACGTAATCTTCCGTCCCGTTGATACACTCTCTAACTACGGCCATCGTAATGCTCGTCTATTTTAAACAAAGGTAACATCACCACTCTTTCGAAGAGAGAAGAAAAGATGCTGTTTAGTTTTAGCTAAAAGAACAAAACGAAGAAAGAAAGAAAGAAAGAAAGAAAGAAAGAAAGAAGAGAAAAAAAGAAAGAAAGAAAGGTAAGATAAATGACGTACTTAACGTCTGCTTCGATGCAAGGGGAAAACCTTGTCAATTCTAAAGCTTTTAATTTTTACCCTCCAAACCCATGATGGCCCAATTTAGCATTGTTTGGGAACCGATGAATTCTTTCATCTTCCCAATGCCCAGACGTCTTCCGGGAACATTGATTGGCTGCTCAGGGGAACAGAATCGCCAGGCATGAACCGTAACGATCGCTTCGACCGATGTTTACCAATTTCGCTTTTATTATTCTCTTTTTCACCTGAAGGCCATCTTCTTACCGTCCAGCCGACCTCCCTGCGCTAAATGGTGTTTTCTTTAATTATGATTACTATTATTATTATTAGTTGTAGTAATAGTAGTAGTATTAGTAGTATTTTCTTTCTTCTTTAATTTTCCAAGGACTTTCTTTTTTATTCTTTCTTTTTCTTGTTTGTTCTTTTATTTTCTTTTTCATTCTATATTTTCATTATTTTTTCATTTTCTTTGCTTTTTTTTATTTCTATCGTTCTTTGTGCGTTTTTCCATTTTCTTTCTATTTTCTTCTTCCTTTATTTTTCCCTCTTTTATAGCACCTCTTTCAATTCATTTGCTTTTGCTTTTTTTTACATTATTTACATTGTTCGGACCGTTGAAAGAAAGAAAGAAAGAAAGAAAGAAAGAAAGAAAGAAAGAAAGAAAATAAAGGAAAGAGAGCATATGAAAGAAAGAAATAGAAAAAAGAGAAAGAAAGAAAGAAAGAAAGGGGGAAGATAAATAAATGAAGAGAAAGAAAGTGGAATGAAGTAAAGAGAAAGAAAGATGATGAGAAGTGAAAGAAAGAAAGAAAGAAAGAAAGAAAGAAAATAAAGGAAAGAGAGCATATGAAAGAAAGAAAGAGAAAAAAGAGAAAGAAAGACAATAAAAGAAAGAAAGAAAGAAAGAAGACAGAAAGAAAATAAAGGAAAGAAAGAAAGAAAAAAGAAAGAAAGAAAAAGAAAGAAAGAAAGAAAATAAAAGAAAGAAAGAAAGAAAGAAAGAAAGAAAAAGAAAAAAGACAGAAAGAAAATAAAGGAAAGAAAGAAAGAAAAAAGAAAGAAAGAAAGAGAAAGAAAATAAAGGGAAGAAAGAAAGAAAAGAAAGAAAGAAAAAGAAAAAAGAAAGAAAATAGAAATAAAGAAAAGGAAAGAAAGAAAGAGAAAGAAAATAAAGGGAAGAAAGAAAGAAAAAGATAGAAAAGGAAAGAAAGAAAGAAAATAAAGGAAAGAAAGAAAAAAGAAAGAAAGAAAGAGAAGGAAAGAAAGAGAAGGAAAGAAAGAAATGGAAAGAAAGAAAGAGAAAGAAAATAAAGGGAATAAAGAAAGAAAAAGAAAGAAAGAAAATGAAAGAAAGAGAGCGAAAGAAAGAAAATAAAGGAAAGAAAGAAAGAAAAAGAAAGAAAGAGAAAAAAGAAAAGAAAGAAAAGAAAGAAAGAAAAAGAAAGAGAGAGAAAGAAAGAATATAAAAGAAAGAAATTAAGAAAGAAAGAAAATAAAGGAAAGAAAGAAAATGAAAGAAAGAAAATGAAAGAAAGAAAGAAAATAAAGGAAAGTAAGAAAGAAAAAGAAAGAAAGAAAGAGTGAAAGAAAGAAAAGAGAATATAAATGATGTGCTTGACGTTTATTTCAATGCAAGTGAAAACCTTGTCAGTTCTAAAGCTTTTAATCTTTATCCTCTTACTTCTGTAAATAATGACCGTATTTCTTATTTATGATTATTATTGCAATATTTTAAATATTGTTAAGCTCAAATATTTAATGGGATAATTTTCATGGCTATTTTATAGTCGTGGAACTGGCAATGAGGTTATATAATCATTAAATTAAGAATTAGGATTCATCTGAAAATTAAAATCGGAAAACCGTAAAATTAGTATAATTAATTCTCAAAATGATACATCAACATACGCTGTATATATCACACGCTGATTTAGTCCATATAAAGAAATAGATGTTCGGCGTCGATTTCATTTAATTTTCAATTATCAGCCAATCATAAACATTCAAAATTAGTTTTTAACCAACCAGAAATTTCATTAAAAATCTGTTGATGATCGTTTATTCCCTGATGTCATGTAATTTTTGGCTAATGTTTCATTTAATGATCATCGCTCTTAGTCCGAATTCCCTGCCAGTTGACTTATTTTCGAACGCTATGCTGAAATTCAGCAAATAGACGTGTTTAGTGTGACTTCCAGTCTATTCTGGTCACAGTGAACTAACGTTCATTTTATTGACTACGGAGCCACCGTAACTCATGATGGTCTAAATTTGAATTGATCAACTAAGCATTGTTTGGGAATCGGTGAATTCTTTCATTTTCCCAATGCGCAGACGCTTTCTGTGAACATTGATTGGCTGCTCAGGGGAACAGAATCGACAGGCATGAACCGTAACGATCGCTTCGACCGATGTTTACCAATTTCGCTTTTATTATTCTCTTTTTCACCCGAAGGCCATCTTTTTACCTTCCTACCTACCTATCTACACTACAACCGTCACTTTGGGTTTTCTTTTATTATTATTATTATTATTATTATTAGCAGTAGTAGCAGCAGTAGTAGTAGTAGTAGTAGTAGTAGTAGCAGTATATTCTTTCTTCTTTAATTTTCCACGTGCTTTCTTTTTTCTTCTTTCTTTTTCTTCTTTGTTATTTCCTTATCTTCCTTTCATTTTATATTTTCATTTTCTTTTCTTTCTTTTTTTTTGGGGGGTGGGGGGGAGTATTGTTTTTTGTGTGTTTGCCCTTTTTTTTCTTTTTCTCTTTTTCCTTTATTTTCCCTCTTTTTAGGTCTTTTAAAATTCATTTTTTTTTTTTTGCTTAATTCAGATTATTTTTATTGTTGGGACTGTTGTCCTCATCTTTATTGCCATATTCACAACGATTCGGCCGTTGTACGCTACGGCCTTCCTTGCGATCGGAATTTTGAACTGAACCCTTTATTTCATCCACCAGGGATGATTCTTCTAGTTCCACGTGCCATACTTCTTCTCAGTTATCTTCAAGATTCTGTTCACCATGGCAGTAGCCAGGTATTGAACTCTCGACTCTTTAGTTCATGCCACTGGATCCAACCAACCATTTTATTCACATGGCCCATGGATAAAAGCGTAGGTTGGAACCAGTGACTTGATCCAAATTGTTGTGAGTTCAATACTTGGCTACTGCAGTGGTGAACAAAAACTTGGAGTGTTGAGTCAAAGGGAGATAAATGAGACATCTGGAAGAAGTACGGCACGTGGAACTAGAACATTCTACCCCGGTAAACGAAATGAAGGGTTCGATTCGAAATTCCAATCAACTTGTGGGATCTTCCACAACAAACCAGCCTTACCTCTTTTTAGGAATTGCACTCTTCCTATCTGGTAAGTAACATCCTACTTTCATACAAATATAACAAGTATTCATTGGTCAATCACCTCCAATCTTGCTTGCTGATTGGTCAGTTCCAACCAATCAAACCGCCTGCACACGACCAATCTGTTTTCCCGCTTATATGCTGGGAGCCTCATGACCATTATATAAACCCAACACGTGTAAACTCCCTCGAGTAGTAGTTTTCTTTTCATTCATCTCTCTCGCACGTCTCATTCCTTGCTACCACGTGCCAAGATGTAACCTTCAGGAACTTCCGTCTTAGTCATGGCTGACCAGATGTTAAAGACAATTACCAATATTCACGAACTCTGAAATCACTCCTGAACTTTTATCAACTTTAGAACTCACAATTCCAAACTTTATTCTTCTAAATTACAAGTTCAATATTACTTCTTCTTAATATGAACTCCGGTACAAATATTACCAAATCAAAGGGACACGACTCTGTCCTACCTTTTCAGTTCGCATGCATGTACATCAAACATTAATAAATCTAATTGTTATGTTTTGGAATCATTCAGTTCAATTTTGTATTTTGTTCTATGTGATATTTACGTCAAGCATAAATTGCATTGCGTTCACGCATTGTCCTTAATATCATCTTTCTTAGCCAAAGTTAAATATTGGTAACTCTATATCTACATATATTGATGACCGCGACGTTCGTCGTTCAACGTTCACAACAACATTGGTAATACAGCCATCACATATATTGGTGATTCCGTCGGAATTAAACAACTATGGTAAGATAAACCACATACAAATGGTGACACCGACGTTCATCGTAAAACCCTATCACTACACACTGAAGGAGGCCGGAGCGTACAATGGATGAAACCTCGTGAATAATGCTATAAAGATGAAGACAGCAGTCCGAACAATGTAAACAGTGTAAATAATTACAATACCTAATCTCAGAAATATAGACATATATTCTTTTACTTTATTTTATTTTTTTTTATTTCTCTGTCTTCTTTATTTATTCATAGAATTTTTTCTTTTTTTCTCTTTGACTCCGTCTTTTTCTTATCTTTCTCATGGGATAAATTCATTGGTTCTTTGTCTCTCTCTGTTTTTTCCTTCATTTTCTCTTTTTTTCTTACTGTAGTACTTTTCTTTCTTTTCTTTATATCAGGGATTTTTTTACGCTTTTTATCGTTATTTTTCTTATCTTCTTTTTTTATTGTTTTTCGACGTTTTTTTTGTTTTTGTTTTTTTTCCTTTCGTTATTTCTTTCGATCACTTTGTCTTTTTTTATTTCTTTCGTTTGTTTCATTGTTTCTTCTCGCATCATTTATTTCGGTCTTTTTTTCTTTCTTTTCTATTTTTTTTTCTTTTCCTTGTCAGTCTTTGTCTCTTCTTTTCTCTCCCTCTCTCCCCCTCTCTCTATCTCTATTTTTCCCCTCACTCTATTTTTTAGGACTTTTTTCGTATTTTGTGAAGATTTCTTTGACTTTGTGAAGATTTCTTTTGACTTTTTGTTTTATAAATTCGTTTTTTTATCAG